ATCGAGTCGTCTTCTGCTCAGAACTGATGCTTTCTCAAACGGTAGTCCCTGTGTAAATAAACGGGAAAAATAGATCACCCGGTCGAGTATTGATTAGCGTGAGTAGACTGGTTGCATTCACCGGTTTTTATCGCATATCCGACGCATAAGTGCTGATTGGGACCACCTGATGCTGTGCTCAATGGCTCTATGAGGGGATGGCTGGGGAAGGCTGCAGTCTTGTGCGATTCAAACGTCAAAATTCAGGAGGGGGCGAGTACCTGCGGTCGGAAAATGTGTAAATAGACACCAATAGTGACGTTCAACGATCCGCCCCTATTGCGAGACCGGGCACATTAGTGCCCGTTCCCCACCAAACCTCGTTGTACATGCTCGGAACTCGCTATCACGGATAAACGCAAGTAACGACCAATAGCAGTGACAAAAGTATTTGTCAACGGACCTTGCTAGTCGTCTTATGAACCGACTTCAATATACCGCACTTTCACTGGACGAAAAAAAGATTCTTTACAACGGACAGTTTTCTACCTTCGTGGTGAGTTTGCGCGGTCTCCCGAGTCTTAGTCTTCTGCGTCGTCTTTTTTTCACTCCTCCAGTGGTGTTTCGGATGAATATGCGTTTGCTGGTATGCATCGGGGTAGGGCGATGTCATCCCAGCTGTGGGAGAGGAACGTCTGGAATGGGCTGTCTGTAGGTACTGCATGGCCCCGCGCAGGAGCGGTCGCACAGGCAACTGGTCCCTTGGACCTGTCTGCCGCAAACTTATTGTCGGCGTGTCCCAGAACTCTCTGTCACAGGTGTGCTGCTTGGGCTCCGCGCTGGAGGCGGCAGCCTTATGGCAGGGACAAGGCTGCCCCCCGGATAAGGTGGGGGTAGTCCTCGGAGTCTTTAACTGATTCTCGACAGCGCTGTTTCGCCTTGAGCCTGTTAAGGCCTGGGGTCGAGGATGCTCCTCCGCGACGTTATGCTGCACAATTGGCGGGCTAAAAGGAGCAGTGAAATAAGAGTTCAAAGTACACATCGGAGATTACACAGCCAAAAGAGTTATCAGTTGACAGTGGCAGTAGTCATCTGCTTTAAAGGACTATACGTTTGTCATTGTGACTGTGATTCTAGCAGTAGGCTCCACGATTTACTTTTCGCGTCCGCAGCTCCGTATAGGCCGGGCGCAGTTTCACTTACGGCTGATCCGCAGCGTTGTAGTGCGGTAAGAAGTCATAATTAGGTCCGTAGGCTTTTTTGCTGTCAGCAGATCAACCAGTGGCCTGTCCGTCAAGTTTCGCCTAAGTGAATGCCATAAAGCATAATCTCATGCCATCTAACTGGTTTGTTTTTAATAGCGGATTAGCATAAATTGCTGATAGTTGGCAGCCACAAAGTTACGTGCCATTTGGCAAATTGGACTCCAGTGATGGTTAAATCAGTCCATAGCGTGAACCCAAGAGTATCAGCTATTTTGGGCCCTGTATATAGTAGACCTGCTATTCTGTTCAACGAAATTCCGAAATGTTTTCTCGATTCAAGGGAAGTACTTAAGAGGGGCTCTCATATTCACGATCCCGAGATATTTAGGTCTTGTTAGGATGCCGACTACTGAACGAGCTCCTTTTCTATGCAAAAGATACTACTTACTTAGTATGCATTTTCAATTCATTATAGATGTGCATTTATAGTCAAATATATTTTATCGAAAACACGCACATACGTATTTTCGCTTCTACTACCTTGGTAGCGAGGAAATTGTTTTCAAAATTTATACTCAGAGAAAGGGTCTTTTTCGGTTTCACAAAGTCTATAATTATGCGCACTTATAAGACCATGAAATGTCCATTCATAAAAAATCCTATCGGTACATTTATTAATGCTTCCTGTAAAATATATAAAATGGTCCACATTTAGTTCACAATTGTATGACATCTTCTATGCCTAGCGAAATGTATAATTTTCCTTGCACTGAATGTAAAGGACATGTAATTTGGAAATCCTGAAGTCAAGTGTAATACCAGATCGGGTTCAAAATTATTCGGGAATTAATTTTCTTAGAACCAAAGGAGATTTTCTTCAAGAAGAAAATTTGAAGATGTACATTGTTGCCAAATGAGTACAAGGAAGAATATTTGTATGCATGGTTCCCATAAAATATATTTGAATTTACTAGGGCATCGCAAATCAATGGGAAGATTTCAGACTACATAAGTAGTCTTTTTTCCCGAGTGCATTTTGGGCAGGCGACTGGAAGAGAGCTTGTTCGGAAGCCGTAGGACAACATTTAATGTGGCCAGTGGAATACAGACAGAAAGCAGCGATAGCAATTATTTAACCAAATCGAGGATCAACCGTTGTTTTCCAGCGTGAGGTATGTACATTCCCCTCATCATGTCCGACTGCGACCAATCATTGAATGGCAAAATATCGATCGGCGCCGGCTTGTTTGCGCAGCGTGAAAAATGGCTTCGGGGGTGTTCGGTTGCTGCCGTTACGTCAACAAGGCCGCCGCATGTTAACAAAGTATGAATATAATACTTAAAGTACAACCTTTGAAGCACATTAGGCGCTAAAAGCTGGGATGATTATTTTTAATTACCTGGTTTTATCACATCATTAGTTTTCCTGTTGCAAAGAGAGGAAGCCTAATTGGTGGAGGAAAAACTGGGAAGTAGGAGCGAGATAAATTATCTCAACGCTTTATACCTTCGTCCGTACATTAACGGGTTAAGAGTATGTTTGGTTTTGCTCACTTCGAAAACTAAAGGCTGTTCATCTGACCTACCTAGTAGGTTAATGAGTGTACCTGGAATACCGGCCATTCATTTCAAGGCGGACAGAGCCTAATACTCCACAAATATAATGGTATTTTCTGTCCCACTGAGCATATTTCAGAGCACATGGATTGCATTG